GCACCCTCCACAGCCCCGGCATCCTCCTCCGGCGACCACCCGCTTCGCTATGACCCCGCCCAGCCGTGGCCTCGCCAGCGCCCATCCGCGCATGCTGGCCGTCGCCCGATGGACTCGCCCCGCCGCAGCCCCCTGCAGGCAAGTGCCCGCCCAGGCGCCCGTCGCCCTCCTGCCCGCTAACCCGCTAAGGCCCCCTGTGTCTATGATATGGGGGCCCCATGCCCCCTGAACGTTTAGAAAAAAAGGATAAGGTTAAAAAAGGAATTAAAAATAATAATAATAATAAATTAATTAATTAATTAATCAATTAGTTAACTTAATTAATTCTGATTAATTAACCTAATCACTTAGTTAACTAACTAATTATGATTAGTTAGTCTAGCCAGTGACAAACGGGACCCACACGTCTGTTGACCCAGTCAACAGGCAGTTGACTGCTGACATCATAATTAGTTTTCCTAATTAAATTAATTCTGTCATTCCTAAAAATGAAATAAAACTTTAAAAATTAATATAAAATAAACCGTAGCTCGGATGAAAATACTTTGTACATGAAAGTTGCTTAGAATGACGAGACAAATCTGAATACGCAGTCTGTTCGTCCGCCACACGTCCCTAGCATAGCGAACACGCAAACTTTCCCCTTCGGTTCATCTGTCTGAAAACGTCAAACACCGGGGATACTTTCCTGGATGTTTCCCCCCTTCGCCGGTATCACCTACTACCACGTTAGGTCACCTCTAGCCCCGTGTATTGCCATGTTACGCTTTGTGATGCTATGATTGCTTTGTTATTTATTATGTTCCCCCTCCGTTACTTCTTTCCGATAGACCCCGAGACTGCCGGCGACCCCAGTTCGACTGCGGTGTTGACGACCCCTCCTTCTTGCCAAAGCAACCAGGCAAGCCCCCCTTTGATCATCCCGATATCGCCCATTCAATTCTCTCATGCTTGCATTAGATTTTGCTATTGTTATGGTTTGCTCCGATTCTGATGCATAGCCTGCTTTTGTAACCTGCTTATTGTTACCTTACCTGCTTATCCTAAACTGCTTAGTATAGGTTGGTTAGTGATCCATCAGTGACCCCCACCTTGTCCTTGTTGCCCCTGCTTCATCATCGAAGACCTGATCAACGGGATGGAAGACCAGGCCCCGGCACCGCACATCACTTTCCCCTTAGTTGCTCGACACTGCTGGGTTACTATCGAGTGACAAGGGTGAGACATCTACAACACTTCTGATGTTAACCCTGTAGTGTAGCTATTCGATCGTGGTCATCGAGGGTGATTCCGCCTTAACCACTTCCGATACAACTTTGTCGTGCAACCCCTCAAGTGTGAACCTCGGGGGTGATTCCTCTTACGTTCACCTTGATGATTACATCGAGTGGAATTCACCGGGGGTGACTCCTCGGGTTTTCCCCTTGATGTTTGGACACACAGTTACTATGGTTACTATGACTTTACACTGAACCATGTTACTAAAGATGGGTCGACCCTGAGGGGTACCCGCACAAGCATAATTGCGAGTGATGTGGAGACGGGTTGACCTGGAAGGTGCCTGAGATATAATTATGAGGCGTGGTCGGGCATTAGCCCTTGCCGCAAGTCCTCGAGACGGGGCAACGTGTCACATCTTTCGTGAGTCTCTGCTTGTTACCGCGTGTTCCTAATCCACTACGATTTGGATATTTGATTCGAGGGGCCTCTGGCCTGATAGCACTAACCATCACGTGGGCATAGTATGCGCGTTCTGCGTCGTATACATCAGCCGAAGCTTAATAGACGTCAGCGACTGAGTGGCGCGCGCCGGGTTGGACTGCGTAAGCACCTGCCTTGTTGAAGGAGGTAGCTAGGTCTGCTCACCGGCCGCGTACGCAACGTGCAAGAGTTCCCAGGGAGATGGCCCATGACCCTTGGGGGCATAGTTTTAGTCCGGCGTGCTGGCCTCTCTATTAAGCCTAGGTCGGGTTGCGGCGTATTGTTTGGCCGAGGCCGGGCATGACCCAGGAAAGTGTGTCCAGCCGGAGTTAATCAAGCATGGTGGGTAAGTTGGTGCACCCCTGCAGGGAAGAAAACATCTATCGATAGCATGTCCTACGGTAATGGACACTTGGAGTTGTATCCCGATCGATACAACTAGAACTGGATACTTGTGATGAGAATTGGATTGTGATGAGAAATGGATAGTAGGGCTCTGGGATTTCTTTCTCGCAGGGAGTCGAGAAAGGATCTCTGGCCGAGGTTGATAACACTACTACTATCTTACTTTATGCTACTCTACTCCCTCCTGTTGCTGCAAGATGGTGGTTTCCAGAAGATGCTAGTCTTCGATAGGACTAGGCTCTCCTCTCTACTCTGGCATTTCTGCAGCCCAGTCCACATATACAGCCTTCCTTTGATAATGTTGCATAGGTAGTGGAGATCCTTGCTTGCGAGTACTTTGGATGAGTACTCACGGTTGCTTTGCTCCCCTTTTTCCACCTCTTTCCATTCTTCTCGGATGATGCAACCAGATGGTGCAGCCCAGGATCCTGACGACACCACCGACGACTACTACAACCCCGACGGTGTCTACTACTACGTGGAGGCCGCCGACGACCAGGAGTAGTTAGGATGCTCCCAGGCAGGAGGCCTTGCCTTTTCGATCGTTGTTGCTTTTGTGCTAGCCTTCTTAAGGGAAACTTGTCTAACTCATGTCTGTACTCAGATATTGTTGCTTCCGCTGACTCTTGTGTATTCGAGCTTATGTATTCGAGCCCTCGAGGCCCCTGGCTTGTAACATAAAGCTTGTATTATTTTAAGTTGTGTCTAGAGTTGTGTTGTGATATACTCCCGTGAGTCCTTGATCTTGATCGTACACATTTGCGTGTATGATTAGTGTACGATTGAATCGAGGGCGTCACAGATCAACCATATGCCCCGCATCGCACACTCAACTAAAATCTGAACCGTGTTTGATGTATTCTTCATCGCAAACATTTTGCATCTTTTTTGACCGTTTTTTTACATCACCGTTTGCGATTAATGCATCGCACACAATTTCGTCAAAGGGTCTCTGATTGTCGCGTTAGCAGCATCCTACAGTAGTGTATGTGCATGTCGATTTAGCACATGTGTGATTGGATCTTTGTCAATTGAGTGTTTCTCTCTTGATTTGCTCCTTCCCCACCTCCAAGTGTGAAAAGATCATGAACTAGGGATCCACCCTACAACACATGATCACACTTGAGCTAGTCTTAGAGGCAAGACTAGGAATCTTATTTTACCTTTTATCATTCCACACATGCATATTTCAATACCATAGCAGTTATAGCATAGAATATAAAATCTTAATTATAAACAAATAAATATGATAATACAATATTATTGCCTCTAGGGCATATTTCCAACATGATCCTACTTCCTTCAAGGGAACACAAGCTCAAGATGATCTTGCTTCACAAGACCTCAAGCAAAAAAGGGAAGAAAAGCGACAAGATGAGTTGGACTCGTATGAAGAACCTTCCCGAGCTATGGTCAAGTGGGTCCCTAAAACTACTTCGAGCTCCGATTCTTCAAGTTCTACCTCAACTACAAGGATTCCCATCGAGTTGATGTGGATTCCCAAGAAGAACTAGAGAGTTCTTGATGGTGACTCCGCCAATTCTGTCATACTCATTCATAGCAAGGAGTTAGAGTGCAAACCACTTTCACATCATGCACTAATTCATGGAGTCACAAACCCTCTTTGTTGTTAACACAAAGGAACAAGGTAACCTAATGCATCCAAAGGCATTATCATGTGCAAGCTTCACTTTATGTCCATTGGATATCCTTGTTGTTCCTTGTGTTGCTAACCCAAGCATATGAAAGTGCATCAAGACAGATGGATTGCTCCCTCATCAAACTTGAGCATCCACAACAAGTACAACTACACAAAGTCGTCAACGACAAACCCAATGTAAGCTCATCCCTCTTAGGGGGGATATCACATTGCTTTACTCTAAGAATTAAACTAGAGCAACTATAATGATGTGAACAAATCAATGCTTAATCTAAAAATGGTAACCCCTTTTGTGCTTAAACAATGAGTATGGTCTATGATCAAATGTTCTCATTTGGCTCCTAAGTCAATTTACTCATATATAGGTGACATTGTCACCGACCAATCTATGGTAGATGTTAGGTTTGGTTGTGCATGTTCTAGTCATGTTTTATTTGCCTATTCTTTCTTTTGGCTAAGCATGTTGGATTGCATATTTTTCCATTCGAGGTTCAAATTGTGGCTTTCTTGATATGGTTCTTTTGACCAATTGGATTTAAGAAAAATTCCTAAGCATCCTTCCTAGCTATCTATCTCGTAAACTTGTCTCAATTCACTTGTTAATCACAAAATATGAACAAGTTCTATTTAGTCCCTCAGAACAAAGAGCATTCGAAGTCTCCAATCTATCTAGGGCTGAACTTTAAAACTTTTTGTTTGTTCTTCGGACAAATCGATTCAATCTCCCTCAGTCCCACCTATGCAATCAGATCGATCTATTTCTTTGTCCCTCAAACAGCTTGACTGAAAGTACTCGGTCTCACAGGCGCAACTCTTCAAGCATTATTCCGACACCGGGCATGAGAATAAGTACTCTGCCCACGAACGGTTTTTCATAAATTCCTTCAAATCCATTCATGCCGTTGGATTTCCCCGTCACCGCCATTCAAAATTTCAGTGTTGTTAGTTTAGTCATAGCCTTTTTATTCAAGGATATCTTCACTTTTCTTTTACAAATGCCTCAACAAGTGGCCAAAGGCGCGTAATCTTAACTACAGAAAAAGACACCTAGGAGTAAAACTATAGAAAAAGACATATAGGAGTAAAACTACAGAAAAAGACATATAGGAGTAAAACTACAAAAGAATGCATAAGATCAGCTATTCAGTTTACTAGACACTACTATTTTAGCACTATAGCAAAATCTGCGTATTCACTAGCCATCGTGTGAAATCTCCTTACCTTCTATTGCTCTCTACTTGTGGATGTTACACTGCTGCAAGTATGTGTTGTCGTAGCCAAGGAACCTGTTCCAGTACTCTTTGTACTTGGGGATGGAGATCTCCAACCAGGGCTTAAGGTTCCCGCTATAGTGGATAACAGCTGCCCTCTCGATTTCTTCTCTTCCCGTGTTGCTATTCTGACCGAGCCCAAGAACATGCCACCGGTGGTCAAGAGGCACTGTTTGGTTGTAGAAGACAAGCTGCCCCAGTGGTAAGCTTCCTGCCTTCCATACTCTCCGCCTTTTGCCCTGCAAATCAGCAGATGAAGAGAAATAAGGTGTTGAGAAACAACAGAACAAAAAGTTTACAAATTAAAGGTACATACTAGAAATAGTTTTCATCAGTATGGTCTCCCATCAAAAATATTCTTGTAGTACAAACTAAATCTTTTCTGCCGGAAGTAAAATGATGGAAATGAATACACAAGTGCCAAGTATACAACTGCACATCAATAGCACTAACCAAACTCAGCCATGTTTAATAGGGTTGTTTTCTGGGCTGCGCCATATTTGGGTAAGTACGAGCTTTCAGGTAGCATGCATGAGATTAACATCAAGATCCAAGCTAATTTAATATCATACAGCCCAAAAGTCTTCATTTAGATCTGTCAGTAAAGTGAGGGGGTACAAGCATAAGTCTTGAGGTAGACCTGGCCACTAAGTTAGTCACAGCACAATCAAAGTTTCTGGCACTAAAGAAAATGAGATGGGCCAGTATCAATCAAGATACCAAAACTCTTTGAAACATCAACTTATAGGCAACATCTCCTCGGAACCCATCAGTTACTTTTTTAAGAAAAGTACGCAAGTCAGTTTCTCCATTGGCTGTCGTAGTGTTGCCTAATATTGCACTCCAGTTTTAATTGTGCCAAATAATTAAAAACAGTAGGCCAAACTTAGCCAAGTTCTAAAAAATTTCTTTTCTCCAACAGTAGGCAAAACGCGAAGAAGAACACCAAGAGGTGCAAAAGTTATACTAGTAATCCAACAAAACCAGAAAGAACCGAAAATCTAACTAGCCAAAGCCTAAAAGGTACAAGAGCAAGACTGAGAATGAAGGACCTAGGAAAGGTAAAATTAATGTTGTCCCAAATTGGACAGCATGCTAATGCATACTTCATGTTAACTGTACAAAATGAGTGCATGGAATATAGTTAAGATACGATTTCTAATGTGACGCAGAAGAAAAAAAAATGCACACTTACTGCCTGAAACCATTTATCATAAGCTGCAGTTAAACCCTTGTTACGCCATTCCTTAAGGTCAAAAATGTTCATCCCAAATGCATATATGCAAGCCTTTGCATCAAATTTGTTGATGATACTTGGATCAGAAAAATTTACAAGGTTGTCCAATCGATGGTAGCCATTGCCAGAACTGCATGTCTCAAGAGCACCATTTACTTTACTCTTCATATCTACCTGCCACAATCCACTTAAGTCTTTTTGGACTACAACATCATGGTCCAAGAGTAGAACGTTGCTCAGAGAAGGGAATACTTCAGGCAAGTAAAAGCGCAAGTGGTTTAGTGCAGAAGTGTATCTTGGATCTCGAATACCCTCCTGCTTAAATCTGGAATTGAAATCAACAGGGAGCCATTTCAACTCATCCATGCTTTCAATTTGAATTGTGGCAGGACTTGGTGGCTTTGTCAAAAACCACATCATCATTGCAGGAAAACTCAATGCATCAGTTATAACATGAAACATTATCCTTTTTGGATCCTGTCAGATAAAATAAGTCAAAAGGAACAGAAGTTAAGACATGAAGAAAATGCAATAAATTTCACCAACATGTTCCACCAAAGCATTCATCATGCAGTCCTCGGACACATTTTTCTCATGTGCACACGTTCATAGAACCACATTAGTAAATGAATCATTTAAGCAAAACTGTACAAGAAACACATGCCTCATAGCAAGTTTTGCAAAATAGATAACTGCACAACTGCACACAGAATACGATACAAACATAAAGAAGTGGATATAGGAAGGGGGAAAGACGAATATTACTGATCACACTCACAGCAACAGACCACAAACTGCATTCCTTATGCACAAAAAAATAAGCATTGCAATCATAAAGCATATCAGATCCCCAAACAATTCCTACATAAGAATGTAAAATAACAATGTCCGAGGATCTAAGGTGTTACCTTTGATGCAGCAATCGTAGAGTTGATAACCACTGCACTGGCTAGTATATTGTCCGAGAATATGGCATAATGATGGAAGTCATCCATCACCATACTGGATCTTTTTGGAAACTCACGTTCCTTAGGATCCAAAGAAAAATATTCTGAAGTAAGTCGCAGTGCTAGGCAGTGATGTCCTTTAGGTGATGTCCTCACAGCCACCTGCTCAAGGAATGAAGATTCACTTCGATGAGCTCTGACCAATTCTTCGCTGTTGTATGTCATTGCACGTAGCTTTGGTGCCATGTGAGAGCAATGTGGGTAGGCTCTCTGGGCTTTGGATAACGTCAATTCCATCGCCTTCATTTTCTGCAGTGTGCTGCACAATGGTTTTGATCTCAATCACTAAAACTATACTCATGAATAGAAATCAGAGCACCTATCTATTACTCCCTCCGTTCCAAAATGTAGTGCACATAGATTTTTCTAAAAATCAATCTCTACAAGATACCAAATACACACCATTAGATACATCATGAGACATATATTCATATTGTATATGTTTGATATTTTAGTTATTGATAATTTTCTCTAATAATTTGGTCAAATTTTTGCTAAGTTTGACTTTAGAAAAAAAATCTTTAGGCACTACATTATGTAATAGAGGGAGTATCATGTTCTCAACTACCCAAATTACTGGCCAACCTAATCCTCTGTGCAGGCCTCTGATGTGCTACAGCTTACCTTCCAGGTACTCGGGAACCACTGCTAGAGTGACTTATCGCCCTCTCTATCTCTTTCATCCTCAATTTCAACTCCCGGACCAAATGTGTGTTGCCATGTGGAGAAGCAAACTGTAAATAGGCCCTGGCCATAATTAGCTGATCTTGCATCATCCATATCTTCTCCTTAGTGCTAGGGGAGGATCTGGAGATTCTTTCATCTTCCTCTGCAGCTATTTCATCAGCTTGCCCTTCTATCTGCAGAAAAGCTAACTAATATCAATTCCTCACAGGTGCACTTACTGAATCAATAAGTCTAAAGTGCAACCCCATTCAAAGAAATACTGTTAATTGGTTCGGAAACATGTAAAATGCTGAATGATTTCCCAAAGGGGACTGAAACAAAACTGAAAGTCCCGATGGTGGACCGTGAAAACATCAAACATAATAAACACTTTAAACAACAAACCTACTTCTACCTGAAAAAATCATAGGCATTTCCAGCAATTGATGATTCCATATCAGACACAGAGCACAGAAATTCTACACAAACACTGCCCTACCTTGGCATAGACTGGAACAAACAGCAGATCGAAACTTCCTAAAGCTACAAACACATCCGACCAAACTACTTGGAGATACAAACCAAACAAGTATTAGATAGTGTTGCTAAGAAGAAGACAAAACAATTACAAAGTGTTTCATGCACAAATGCAAACACAGGCAAGCATATGTAGTAAAATTCAAATTACCTCTTCGGGCAGGGCGTCGAGTCTCGCGATCTCCCCAATCTGCAGCCTCCCCAAAAAACCGAACACGAATTTAACAATTTCGGAAGAAGAGGAGGAAACTGAAGGAAGTGAAATGGATTGAAAGTGAAAGCATTGGATTGGGGTTGCTCACCTCCTTCATGGACAACTGGGGCCTTCCCGTGCGCTCCCCACCTGCACACATCCAACAAATTAAACCCACAGCCGCAGACAGTGCCGTCGTTGCTAGCAAGGGAAGCAGATAAGCCAGGCCACGATCGATTCAACAGCAATCGCGAACAATGAGCACGAAGAGGGATTGGGTTGAGCGGAGCGGGAGGCTCACCAGGGAGATTGAGTAGGAGAAACGCGAAGCTGCAGGCGGTCGCGATCAGCAGGAGCCACAGCCATAGCGCCGCCTCCTCCCTCCTCCCGGCGCCGCCGCCCGCCTTCATCGCCGGCCCGAGGAGGAGAAACGCAATCCTCGCGACGGGATCGCCGGGCCGCTGCCACCCCTCCACCCAACCCGCCCGCGCGCTATAAACCTTTTTGTTCTCCTCTCGAGTTGGACTAAACCCGCGCATGGGTAGCCCGGCCCCGACGACCCGGCCCGAAAAACCCGGGCCGGGCTTGACATTCGGGCCGGGCTCAGGCTTTGTTTCGCAGCCCGAAAGATAGTTCGGGCCGGGCTCGGGCTTCAATTTTTCCGTATTTTGGGCCGGGCTTTCGGGCTTCGGGTCGGGCTTGCACGTGCGCGTACTAAAAAGCAGCATTCGGGCCGGGCTTTCGGGCTTCGGGATTGATTTCGGGCTGGGCTCGGGCTTAAAAATATGGAGTATTTTGGGCTTCGGGCCGGGCTCGGGCTTGAGAAATGAAGGTCGGGCTTTTACAAGCCCGGCCCGACGTTTGCCCAGGTTTAAGTTGGACGGCTCTCTTCCAAACAACAAACAACACAGGCGTCGGGACCTGATGGATACCCTGCACATATTTTCTAGAGGCATCAGGAGATTTGCGGGAATGAGGTTACCAATGCAGTCCTTAAAATTGTTGATGATACGGAATCAGCAGCTTGCATCAATGAAACTGTGTTGGTGTTGATTCCAAAGGTAAAAAATCTCAAACTGCTTTCACAATTCCGACCAATCAGTCTATGTAATGTGCTCTATAAAATTGCTTCAAAAGTGATATCTAACAGACTGAAGGTGATGTTACCTGAGATAATACCGGAAGAGCGGTCCGCTTTTGTGCCGGGCAGGTTGATCACTGACAACATCATCACGGCATATGAGTGCTTACATTTCATGAAGCGCAATAGAGCGAAGAAACACCGGTCATGTGCGTTAAAATTGGATATAATGAAGGCCTATGACAGAATTAAATGGCCTTATCTCAGAGCTATCATGCTAAAACTGGGCTTTACTGAAATATGGGTAAATATTGTTATGAATCTTGTTACTACAATAAAGTTTTCAGTGATGTTCAATGGAAGAAAACTAGATGAATTTCAACCATCTCGTGGAATAAGACAAGGGGATCCAATATCTCCATATTTGTTCTTGTTAGCAGCAGAGGGCCTTTCGTGTCTACTTAAATCAAAATGAGAGTCATCAAACATGCATGGTCTACAAGTGGCACCATCGGCGCCACTGATAAACCATCTTTTATTCGCTGATGACAGCCTGTTGTTTTTCAAGGCTAACAATGATGGAGCTACAGAGGTGAACCTCGTACTGGATAGCTATTGCCAAGCATCGGGGCAACGGATTAACTTCTCAAAATCTTCTATATTTTTCAGCAAGGGGGTTCCATAGAGTACTAGACTGAAAATAAAAGGTGTGCTACATGTCCCAAATGAAACACTGAGTGAGAGGTACCTTGGAATGCCATCTGATATCGGTGGGTCAAAAAACAGTGCCTTCAAATACCTCAAGGATCGTTTATGGAGCAAAGTTCAGGGTTGGCTTGAAAGCACCCTATCAACAACATGGAAGGAGGTTTTAGTGAAATTTGTGGCTCAGGCAGTTCCAGTCTTCTCCATGTCTTGCTTTAAATTGCCAAGAGGGTTGTGCGAACACTTGAATATGCTCATCAGGAAATTTTGGTGGGGAAGCAAAGACGGGAGACGAAAGCCTCATTGGGTTTCTTGGAAGACAATGACGCAACCCAAGTGGATGGGTGGTCTTGGATTTAAGGACTTTGAGCTCTTCAATCTTGCAATGTTAGCCCGACAGGCGTGGCGCCTGCTACAAAACCCGGAGACTTTAAGTGCTCGTATTCTTAAGAGCATCTACTACCCTGATTCCTCATTCTTGCAAGCTAACCTGGGAGGACACCCTAGCCAAATATGGAGACCGATTATTGAAGGAAGGGACGCGCTCAAGTTAGGCTTGATCAAGCGGATAGGCAATGGTGCATCTACTGATGTTTGGAATGACTCATGGCTCCCTAGAGAGGAGAATATGAGGCCATATGGATGTCGTGTTACTGATCCTATGACCCTAGTCTCCGAGCTTATTGATCATACCACCGCAACATGGAAGAAGGACCGGGTGGAGGAGGTGTTCTTGCCTATGGACGCGTGAGTCATTATGGGGATCCCGCTGTGTACGCGACCCATCCAGGACTTTTGGAGTTGGCATTGTGATAAGCATGGTCTATTTTCTATTAAGACGACGTACAACCTGCTAGTGGCAATAAAATAGAGGAGGGAGGCGTGGCTGGAAGGGACGCCGCGGACATCAATGTTAGCTACAGAATCTAGCTCATGGAAGAAACTATGGAAAACACAGGTTCCAGCTAAAGTTAGGATGTTCCTTTGGAGGCTATCCAAGCACTCGTTACCAACTGAAGATATCAGATCGCAGAGGCACATGGCTGACTCATCGGGATGTGGTTTTTGTGGGGTGACTGACTCATGGAGACATTCGTTGATCAGCTGCACCACGTCGAGATGCACTTGGGCCTTGGTTGATGAGGATATGGCTCAGAATCTGGTCTCTAATTCTGAACCTAGTGCCAAACAGTGGTTGGTCACCATGATGGATTCAATGACACATGACAAATTTGTCCTGCTATCGGTCACCTTATGGGCAATATGATCGGCCTGCCGCAAGGCCATTCACGAGGGCATATTCCAATACCCTCAGGCAACTTTCTCCTTCATTAACAGGTTCATAGGGGAGTTGGAGATCATCAAGGTGCCATCTTCAGCCGACCAAGTGCGAGCACCACCAGCCAATGTACAACAGCAACCAAATGCACCACCTCCCGATTTTGTCAAAATACATGTTGACGCCGCGGTGCGGAAGGGAAGAGGTGGTTCGGCAGCTATAGTTTGTTGGGATAGTTCTGGACAATTTTTGGGCAGTGCGGCTCTTGTTCTCGACGGGATTGATGACCCTGTGGCCCTTGAAGACATAGCATGCAGGGAGGCCTTGGCCCTAGCTGAAGATCTCAACGCCCATGATGTTATCATTCCATGTGATTCAAAGCAAGTTGTCTCAGATATTCTTACTGGGAGCAAGGGTAGCTACGGAGCAGTAGTTAGGGAGATTAATCTTAAGTCAGTGCAGTTTCAATGTAACTTTATTTTCGAGAGTCGTGCTGTCAATGTTGAAGCACATAGTTTAGCCAAGTTCGCTCTTTCGCTAGGTCCGGGGCGCCACGTTTGGTTTGGCCAACCCCACAACCTAAGATGTATCCCACAAACTGTGGTCTTTGATGAATAAATTGGCTATTACCCCTCAAAAATGTATGTATAATGACTACCACGTCAGAAATTTATCTAGGTGGAGGAGAGAGAATGTAGTGTTGCAAGGCGGTCCATATTGTTAAAATTAGTTTTAGTTATTTGTTAATTAGCACAGTAATAGTTAACTAATTCTATATACTTAAAAAGTTCACACCACTACTTGATTTATCTCAACATGAAGCATAGATACGTCAGCATCCAATCAGATACAGCCACGTCACACCTCATGCAGTCCCACTCAAGCCCACCAATTTTTTTCCTGAAAGAAAAAAACGAAGTCTCTAGGATTCCTCACTATTGCCCACGCCATATATCTCCCAGATTCAGCCCAAACCAATCACCTCCTTTCCCCTCTGTACATCCCGCGCGGCGGCCGGGATCCAGTCTCCTGCCTACCGCGCCGGCTGTCCGGCTTGGCGGACATGCTCCCGTCTCACACCCCTCGGGCAGGACTGTTATCTCGACTCCCTTCTGTGTTCAACGCGGCGACCAGGCTCCCGTCTAACGCCCCTCCGGGAGGACTGATGGTCAGCCTCCGCTCTATGTTCGTCGCGGCGGCGGATATTTCATCTCATGGCCATCCGGCAACAGCGCCGGCCTGGATCCCCTATGTAATTCTCCGGGGATCTCTTGGGACACGTTCCACTTCTTGGCGTCGTCTCTCCGGCAGGCATGATCACCAGTCTGATTCTCCTGGTCCGCCCTGACTACCGGTCCTCCTCTGACGGATCTCTCAGATTTTCTCCTGCTGCTCACTCCTCTGGCTCTGGCCGCCGGTCTCCCATCTCCGATGAATTTACCGGTTCAAAAAATCCGCTGGTGCACCTCGGCCAATTTGCCTTTTATCGAGTCCCCTACTGTCTTCATTTCGGTAAGTGTAGATGGAGGTGATGAGGTGGAGTTCTTTTTTCTCAATTCTTTCTCTCCACATGTGGTCGTCCCTATCGTCCTCAAGATATGCCATTCGTAGTCCGCCTCTTGTGATGGGGTACCTGCTAGAGATGCATCTTGTAGTCCAACTGTAGACACTAACTGTCTTATCTTTTTGCAGGAAACCATCTCTCTATCTAGGGCTGATATCCAGTCAAATTCCACTTCTAATTGCCAAGCTACCCATCTATTGATTCATGTGTCGATCCCCTTGGCTCCCTCCCCTCACATGCGGGCATCAATTGTTACACATAAAAACGAACATGCATTGTTTGAACTGGCAACGGCAGCGGCTGCAAACAGCAAGGCATCACCATGGTCCTCAGCCACGATCTGGGCTCGCAGTGCGGCTGTGCGTCCTCAAGGCGCGGCGACGCTGCATAACCTTCCCCGTAGGGTGTGGCTGTCGGTGTCAAAACCAGCGGATCTCGGGTAGGGGGTCCCGAACTGTGCGTCTAAGGCTAATGGTAACAGGAGGCGGGGGACACAATGTTTACCCAGGTTCGGTCCCTATCTATGGAGGTAAATACCCTACTTCCTGCTTGATTGATCTTGATGATATGTACAAGAGTTGATCTACCACGAGATCATAGAGGCTAAACCCTAAAAGCTAGCCTATGATTATGATTGTTGTTCTACGGACTAAACCCTCCGGTTTATATAGACACCGGAGGGGGCTACGGTTACACAGAGTCGGTTACAGAGAAGGGAATCTACATATCCGAATTGCCAAGCTTGCCTTCCACGCAAAGGAGAGTCCCACCCGGACACGGG